TTATGTACACAAGAGCTAGTACTTTACACAAGTGTGGGTTATGTACACAAGAGCTAGTACTTTACACAAGTGTGGGTTATGTACACAAGTGTTGGTTATGTACACAACAGCTACTACTGTACACAAATGTGGGTTATGTACACAAGACCTAGCACTGTCCACAAGTGTGGGTTATGTACACAAGTGTGGGTTATGTATACAAGTGTTGGTTATGTACACAAGAGCTAGCAATGCACACACGTGTGGTTTATGTACACAAGAGCTAGTACTGTACACAAGTGTGGGTTATGTACACAAGTGTGGTTTATGTACACAAGAGCTAGCACTGTACACAAGTGTGGGTTATGTACACAAGAGCTAGTACAGTACACAAGTGTGGGTTATGTACACAAGAGCTAGTACCGTACACAAGTGTGGTTTATGTACACAAGTGTGGGTTATGTGTACAAGAGCAAGTACCGTACACAAGTGTGGGTTATGTACACAAGTGTGGGTTATGTACACAAGAGCTAGTACTTTACACAAGTGTGGGTTATGTACACAAGAGCTAGTACTTTACACAGGTGTGGGTTATGTACACAAGTATGGGTTATGTACACAAGTGTGGGTTATGTACACAAGAGCTAGTACTTTACACAAGTGTGGGTTATGTACACAAGTATGGGTTATGTACACAAGTGTGGATTATGTATACAACAGCTAGTACTGTACACAAGTGTGGGTTATGTACAAAAGTGTGGGTTATGTACACAAGTGTGGGTTATGTATACAAGAGCTAGTACTGTACACAAGTGTGGGTTATGTACAAAAGTGTGGGTTATGTACACAAGAGCTACTACTGTACACAAATGTGGGTTATGTACACAAGACCTAGCATTGTACACAAGTATGGGTTATGTACACAAGTGTGGGTTATGTATACAAGTGTGGGTTATGTACACAAGAGGTAGCAATGCACACACGTGTGGGTTATGTACACAAGAGCTAGCACTGTAGACAAGTGTGGGTTATGTACACAAGAGCTAGTACAGTACACAAGTGTGGGTTATGTACACAAGAGCTAGTACCGTACACAAGTGTGGGTTATGTGTACAAGAGCTAGTACCATACACAAGTGTGGGTTATGTGTATAAGAGCTAGTACCGTACACAAGTGTGGCTTATGTACACAAGTGTGGCTTATGTACACAAGAGCTAGTACTTTACACAAGTGTGGGTTATGTACACAAGAGCTAGTACTTTACACAAGTGTGGGTTATGTACACAAGAGCTAGTACTTTACACAAGTGTGGGTTATGTACACAAGTGTTGGTTATGTACACAACAGCTAGCACTTTACACAAGTGTGGGTTATGTACACTAGAGCTAGTACTTTACACAAGTGTGGGTTATGTACACAAGTGTGGGTTATGTATACAAGTGTGGGTTATGTACACAAGAGCTAGCAATGCACACACGTGTGGTTTATGTATACAAGAGCTAGCACTGTACACAAGTGAGGGTTATGTACACAAGAGCTAGTACTGTACACAAGTGTGGGTTATGTACACAAGAGCTAGTACTGTACACAAGTGTGGGTTATGTACACAAGAGCTAGTACCGTACACAAGAGTGGGTTATGTGTAAAAGAGCAAGTACCGTACACAAGTGTGGGTTATGTGTACAAGAGCAAGTACCGTACACAAGTGTGGGTTATGTGTACAAGAGCAAGTACCGTACACAAGTGTGGGTTATGTACACAAGTGTGGGTTATGTACACAAGTATGGGTTATGTACACAAGTGTGGGTTATGTATACAAGAGCTAGTACTGTACACAAGTGTGGGTTATGTACAAAAGTGTGGGTTATGTACACAAGTGTGGGTTATGTACATAAGTGTGGGTAATGTACACAAGAGCTACTACTGTACACAAATGTGGGTTATGTACACAAGTATGGGTTATGTATACAAGTGTGGGTTATGTATACAAGTGTGGGTTATGTACACAAGAGCTAGCAATGCACACACGTGTGGTTTATGTACACAAGAGCTAGCACAGTACACAAGTGTGGGTTATGTACACAAGAGCTAGTACAGTACACAAGTGTGGGTTATGTACACAAGAGCTAGTACCGTACACAAGTGTGGGTTATGTACACAAGTGTGGGCTATGTATACAAGACCTAGCACTGTACACAAGTATGGGTTATGTACACAAGTGTGGGCTATGTATACAAGTGTGGGTTATGTATACAAGAGCTAGCAATGCACACACGTGTGGTTTATGTACACAAGAGCTAGCACCGTACACAAGTGTGGGTTATGTACACAAGAGCTAGTACCATACACAAGTGTGGGTTATGTACACAAGAGCTAGTACAGTACACAAGTGTGGGTTATGTACACAAGTGTGGGTTATGTACACAAGTGTGGGTTATGTACACAAGAGCTACTACTGTACACAAGTGTGGGTTATGTACACAAGTGTGGGCTATGTATACAAGACCTAGCACTGTACACAAGTATGGGTTATGTACACAAGTGTGGGCTATGTATACAAGTGTGGGTTATGTATACAAGAGCTAGCAATGCACACACGTGTGGTTTATGTACACAAGAGCTAGCACCGTACACAAGTGTGGGTTATGTACACAAGAGCTAGTACCATACACAAGTGTGGGTTATGTACACAAGAGCTAGTACAGTACACAAGTGTGGGTTATGTACACAAGTGTGGGTTATGTGTACAAGAGCTAGTACCGTACACAAGTGTGGGTTATGTACACAAGTGTGGGTTATGTGTACAAGAGCTAGTGCCGTACACAAGTGGGGGTTATGTACACAAGTGTGGGTTATGTACACAAGAGCTACTACTGTACACAAGTGTCGGTTATGTACACAAGAGCTAGTACTGTACACAAGTGTGGGTTTTGTACACAAGAGCTAGTACTGTACACAAGTGTGGGTTATGTACACAAGTGTGGGTAATGTACACAAGAGCTAGTACCGTACACAAGTGTGGGTTATGTACACAAGTGTGGGTTATGTGTACAAGAGCTACTACTGTACACAAGTGTGGTTTATGTACACAAGAGCTACTACTGTACACAAGTGTGGGTTATGTACACAAGAGCTAGTACCATACACAAGTGTGGGTTATGTACACAAGAGCTAGTACAGTACACAAGTGTGGGTTATGTACACAAGTGTGGGTTATGTGTACAAGAGCTAGTACCGTACACAAGTGTGGGTTATGTACACAAGTGTGGGTTATGTACACAAGAGCTACTACTGTACACAAGTGTCGGTTATGTACACAAGAGCTAGTACTGTACACAAGTGTGGGTTTTGTACACAAGAGCTAGTACTGTACACAAGTGTGGGTTATGTACACAAGTGTGGGTAATGTACACAAGAGCTAGTACCGTACACAAGTGTGGGTTATGTACACAAGTGTGGGTTATGTGTACAAGAGCTAGTACCGTACACAAGTGTGGGTAATGTACACAAGTGTGGGTTATGTACACAAGTGTGGGTTATGTACACAAGAACTAGCACTGTACACCAGTGTGGGTTATGTACACAAGAGCTAGCACTGGTTATGTTATTTACACGAGGGCTGATTGTGTGTACACTAGGGTTGGTTGGTTACGCTTGGGTTGCCTGTGTACGCTGGGGTTGGTTGTGTGTACACTAGGGCTGGTTGGGTTGACTAGGGTTGGTTATGTTTACTAGAGTTGGTTGTGTACACTGGGGTTGGTTGTGTATACCCTAGGGTGGGTTCTGTTTACTAGAGTTGGTTGTGTACACTAGGGATGGTTGTGTAGACTAGAGTTGGTTGTGTACACTAGGGATGGTTGTGTTTACTAGAGTTGGTTGTGTACACTAGGGATGGTTGTGTAGACTAGAGTTGGTTGTGTGTACACTAGGGTTGGTTGTGTACGCTGGGGTTGGTGGTGTACCCTGGGATTGGTTTTGTGTACACTTAGAGTTGGTTGTGTGTACACTATGGTTGGTTGTGTACAGTAGAGTTGGTTGCGTGTACACTAGGGCTGGCTGTGTAGACTAGGGTTGGTTGTGTACACTAGGGATGGTGGTGTACCCTGGGATTGGTTTTGTGTACACTAGGAGTTGGTTGTGTGTATACTATGGTTGGTTTTGTACATTATTCTTGGTGCTTTGTAAGGGTATTGTGGCATTTAGCGCGCACGCACGCACGCACGCACGCACACACGCACGCACGCACACACACACACACACTGACGTTAATTAACCGGATTACGCCGAATCGGTTTGACATTGATTGATCAAACGTTTGGTTTTCATATATCACTGAGTATCATCACTGACACTTTGTATACAGTTTTACATGATAGTACGATAAGACTGGATCCCGACAGCAATAAGCGATCTCAAGGCATGGATGTTTACAAGTTGTAACAAGGCAGAGCTCACTAAATCTCTTGATCCTGGGACCAAGGCGATATACATCATCTCTGCACACACGGCACCTTCTAACAGTAACGTTACCGTACACTAGACTTGCTCACATTGAGATAGTCATCATCACTGCTGATGAATATTCTGTGATACAGTTCGTTCAACCAAGCCGATCTTATGAGCTGATATTTCCCTCGGGGGATGGGCCACTGAGGCCAATAACCATGGTAACAGGCGTTGCGGCATGATTGGGTTATGCAATTGAATGATGATATGTAATCACGTGTTTAGCCTTTGTTATTAGTGAGCCTTTGTTGGAATAACGCGAGCTGTTGGACTGTTCAGACACATTGCAGGCGTGGAGCCGACACTCCCTGTATCCTCAAATTGATTTCAACACAGGGGATATGTTTGGTTTTGTCCCTTATTAGTATTGATGGTAGCCGCGTCGAACTACTTTTGGACAGACCCAATTTTAACTATTGGACGATTGTTAAATGGATGTGAACCCTGGAAGCTGGGATGTAATGTAGTGTGCGGTGGAAACGTAAGTGAACAACATACTGTAAACATTTTAATGACTAAGCGCTTGGTGCGGGACAAAGAGAGGGACGTGACGGTAGAAGTGGAGGGGCCGTGACGAGGGACGGGGAGGGGGGAGTGAAGAGGGACGTGAAGACGGGACGTGAAGACGGGAGTGACGAGGGACGTGGAGGGGGGCGTGAAGAGGGACGTGAAGACGGGACGTGAAGACGGGAGTGACGAGGGACGTGGAGGGGGGCGTGAAGAGGGACGTGAAGACGGGACGTGAAGACGGGAGTGACGAGGGACGTGGAGGGGGGCGTGAAGAGGGACGTGAAGACGGAAGTGACGGGGGACTGGAGAGGGGCGTGACGGGGGACGTGGAGGGGGGCGTGACGGGGGACGTGAAGACGGGAGTGACGAGGGACGTGGAGGGGGGCGTGAAGAGGGACGTGAAGACGGAAGTGACGGGGGACTGGAGAGGGGCGTGACGGGGGACGTGGAGGGGGGCGTGACGGGGGATGTGGAGGGGGACGTGACGAGGGACGTGGAGGGGGGCGTGAAGAGGGACGTGAAGACGGGAGTGACGGGGGACTGGGGATGGACGTGACGAGGGACGTGGAGGGGGGCGTGAAGAGGGACGTGAAGACGGGAGTGACGGGGGATGTGGAGGGGGACGTGACGAAGGACGTGGAGGGGGGCGTGAAGAGGGACGTGAAGACGGGAGTGACGGGGAGCTGGGGAGGGGCGTGACGGGGGATGTGGAGGGGGGCGTGACGGGGGATGTGGAGGGGGGGTCTGAAGACGGGAATGAAGGGGGACTGAAGAGGGGCGTGACGGAGGTGTGAATGGGAGATTAAAACATGCTCATCTTTACTGAATTTACCACCCCCCTGTTGTTGTTTAAGCTCGGACATGCACCGCTCGGTTTTGTCAGTTCTACCACGGACTTTTATAACTGTATATAGGTCAGTGGGTCTACTCTGTTACTCTCGCCCCTCCCTAGATACTCTGCGACGTCCCTAACTCATTACAGTGTGTCTATTGTGTTTTTACAGTGTGTCTTTTGTGTTGTTACAGTGTGTCTATTGTGTTATTAGTGTGTATATTGTGTTATTACAGTGTGTCTATTGTGTTAGAATCCATTGTGTCTTTTGTGTTATTACATTGTGTCTATTGTGTTATAATCCACTGTCTATTGTGCTATAATCCATTGTGTCTATTGTGTTATAATTCATTGTGTCAATTGTGCTATAATCCATTGTGTCTATTGTGTTATAATCCATTGTGTCTATTGTGTTATAATCCATTATATCAATTGTGTTAGAATGTTAAAGTGGCCTGTATGTCGCTGCAACGCTGATACTTTGATGTGCATAAGCTCCACATGATCGACATAACTAAATTAGCTCTTGTCTGAAGCCTCTCGTGTTGTGTACACAACTGGACAGTAGTGTTTGTTGAAGTGGATATGGAAATACGAGACCAACTCAGAGTCGCCCTAACATCCGCGCCATTAGTCATGTTTGGCCCGGCCGTGTGTGGCCGCTCTGGTGTATTCCCCTGGGATCCTTGTGTCGCGCATGTTCATTGCGCGCTCCCTGCCTCAGAATACTTTCTAGTTTCGGCTCAAAGAATCAATCTGTCAGCGGAGGACGTAGACTGGCATTTGTCGACAGCGTGATGTTGAGTGTTTGACCTCACCCGCACCCACCCCCACCCACCCCCACCATATATCTTGATATTTGAAAGATTGGGATTCATCTGTAACTGTTTCGTACTTGAGCACAGAAATATTTTGTCCGATCTTTTTGTGTGTTATAATTGGTTGGATACATGGTGTGATGGCCTTCTACGTGTTGTCGTGGACCTTTTGAAGGTGTAGAGTTACCAACTGCGCGTTGTCTGTCTTCCTCTCTCTGTCCCACCATCAATGTGACGACGGCAGTGCCGACATGTAGCGCCATCTGCGGCAGCAGCTGAACAGCATAATTATTTTTGTCTGTACTTAACCCATGGTGGTTTCAATACAAGTGGTACACGAGATGTTTGTTGTGGCCAAGGTGCGGCGGAGTGGCCGCCGTCATGGACGTCGTGGGTATCTAAGTGACGATATTTCCGCTTTCTCAAACACGGGCTTTTGATGCGGAAATCCGTTGAACTTTAGGAATTTGTTGCCAGGGCAACAGAAGACTGTCAGCCTATAGAAGCATTCTTTGGCAGTGAAGTCAGGCATCGGAACAGCTTCTGCTTTGAAAGGTTTAAACCAGATCTCCCACACCACAATTACTTGAATCGTGCACATTGAGTGAGTATGGTTTTACGCCGCTTAAGCAATATTTCCGCAATATCACGGAGGGGAGCACATATGGAGAATCGAACCCCGGTCTTTGGCGATACGAGCAAACTCTTTAAACACTAGGCTACCCCGCCGCCCCTGAATCACGGAGAGAATCGTAGATAAGCAATACACCAACTTGAGCCCGCGTGTGTCACAGAGTTCTCTGTCACAGTCACGTGTTCACTGTCAGTCACATGTTTACGTCATGGTCATGTGTCCACTGCCAGTCACATGTTCACTGTCACGGTCACGTGTTCACTGTCACGGTCATGTGTTCATTGTCACAATCACGTGTTCATTGTCACTCAAGTGGTCACTGTCACAGTCACATGTTCACTGTCACGGTCACGTGTTCACTGACACTCACGTGTTCACTGTCACGGTTACGTGTTCACTGTCACAGTCACGTGTGACCCCCAGGGTCATGGTTTTGCGTCTTTTACGTGTTATGTGCTATATGCATGGAACTCCATCACATCGAGTATGCATAGAAACTATCTCCTGTCAGGCCAGACGGTAATTACGAATGGCCACCATTTACTGGCTATTGCTGACAGATAGGACGGAGAACCCTGTGTTACGGAGACGGCCGAATGCTTCCTTCGGGGGAAGTTAGAAGACCTTTATGAGCATCTTTATCGCTGCAATTAACACCAGTTCGCCCCCGACGCGGCTCCTTGGACAATAGGACGACGGAAACCCTGCAGCTAATGTGTCGACGATCAAATATATTTGTTGTCTATTCAAGAAAGGAATTTAGACAGATGATTTCTGCTGCCCCGATTCCACCGTTCAGTCAACCACCTCACCTGGCATAATGGGGCCCCGCAGAACACTTCAGCTAAATCCATCCTGAGGACACATGCGGGATGTCTCGGGATTCTGAAGAATAAAGTCTTTGTTGGATCTTGACCTAAATGCGCTATAAGAGAACGTTCAATTGAAATGCTGTCTCAAAAACGCACACGGGTGTATTTGCACTTCTGCCCATGACAAATAGGATAATGCAACGCGAGATTCATGTAGAATAACGGACACACGAAGCAACGTGACGCGAGATTCATGTAGAATAACGTACAGACGAAGCAACGTGACGCAAGATTCATGTAGAATAACGTACACACGAAGCAACGTGACGCGGGATTCATGTAGATTAACGGACACACGAAGCAACGTGACGCGAGATTCATGTAGACTAACGGACACACGAAGCAACGTGACGCGAGATTCATGTAGACTAACGGACACACGAAGCAACGTGACGCGAGATTCATGTAGAGTAACGTACAGACGAAGCAACGTGACGCGGGATTCATGTTGAATAACGTACACACGAAGCAACGTGACGCGAGATTCATGTAGAATAACGGACACACGAAGCAACGTGACGCGAGATTCATGTAGAATAACGGACACACGAAGCAACGTGACGCGAGATTCATGTAGAATAACGAACACACGAAGCAACGTGACGCGGGATTCATGTAGAATAACGGACACACGAAGCAACGTGACGCGAGATTCATGTAGAATAACGGACACACGAAGCAACGTGACGCGAGATTCATGTAGAATAAGGTACAGACGAAGCAACGTGACGCGAGATTCATGTAGAATAAGGTACAGACGAAGCAACGTGACGCGAGATTCATGTAGAATAACGGACACACGAAGCAACGTGACGCGAGATTCATGTAGAATAACGGACACACGAAGCAACGTGACGCGGGATTCATGTAGAATAACGTACACACGAAGCAACGTGACGCGAGATTCATGTAGAATAAGGTACAGACGAAGCAACGTGACGCGAGATTCATGTAGAATAACGGACACACGAAGCAACGTGACGCGAGATTCATGTAGAATAACGTACACACGAAGCAACGTGACGCGGGATTCATGTAGATTAACGGACACACGAAGCAACGTGACGCGAGATTCATGTAGATTAACGGACACACGAAGCAACGTGACGCGAGATTCATGTAGAATAACGTACACACGAAGCAACGTGACGCGGGATTCATGTAGATTAACGGACACACGAAGCAACGTGACGCGAGATTCATGTAGAATAACGTACACACGAAGCAACGTGACGCGGGATTCATGTAGAATAACGTACACACGAAGCAACGTGACGCGGGATTCATGTAGATTAACGGACACACGAAGCAACGTGACGCGAGATTCATATAGAATAACGTACACACGAAGCAACGTGACGCGGGATTCATGTAGAATAACGGACACACGAAGCAACGTGATGATAACGCCATGTTGGTAACAACAACTCAAGTGGGGTTTCCATGAAGTAGTCAGCTCTCCTCCTTCCCTGCAAATTATCAAGCTACAAATTAATACTAAAATATCTACTTTGGAATCTGTACGTATCAGATCCATTCTTTTCACAAACAATGTTTACGAAACCATTGTGTCTTTGAGAGAGTAAAGTTAATGAGACTGTTGTTTTGTTTGGAGGTAAAAGATGCCGAGACTATTGTCTTCTTTAGAGGGTAAGGCTAACGATAATATTGTGTTGTTGAATATTATGATAATGTAACCGATTTAGTGCGTGGAGGTAAACAAAAGTCAAAGAAATCTGGTTTTCAAGAACGTTTTATTCCTGGTTTATTATAACATACACAGAAACAATATATCATTCATTAAATACAGCCTCATACAATATACTTGAGGCTTCAAAACAGTCCATTACACAAATTAGGTGAAATAGGAATCACAGAGTATAGACAGACAGACAGACAGACAGATTTATTTCGTATGTGTGGCCCTGATGCCAATAGTACAATGACATTTTGTTGTAAGAAAATTCGTCGTGAAGGACCACTTGTATACTGATTAGATTGTAGCTAGATAGGTGTACACAGTTCTATTTATATTCAATGTATTATCCTTCTTTCAAATATCTTATAAACACAAACTGCAAGTCTGAGAAGAATATGGCTATTTTTGCTGTTCATTAACTGTACATCTTTGGGATGGATACGTATAATAATAGTTAGGCAGGTATTTGATTCTCATATCTTCATATACTGGTACATTAAGGGTATGTATACCACACCTGAACTTCGTTAAACATCTGCGTAAAGATAAAGATCGAATTGTTGTTAAGTACATTTCTGGTATTATTTCCATCTGAATAGGCATGTAACGATTTTGAACATATTATATCGGCTGACCAGCCTTGACAATACATATCTCTACATCGTTGTTTAAACATTGTTAAGAACATTATTTTATTTCCAACATCCTGGTATATCCACGCGTATGCAAATCCATGCGAAAAAAAGAATTTCTCTAACAGCTGAGGCCCAGTTTATATCCCCAAAGTCATCAAGGCGCTTAAGCATGTACTAGCATCGTCTGGAGTATCGTGTATTTGGTTGTCTGAGCAAACGTATCCAGTATAAGATAACCCTGCATTGATAGTGTATATATATCGGATGCCTTCTGCATTCTGCTAAAATTGCCTTATTTGGTGCCCGGTAGCCGACGCCAAGAACAAACTTACAAAATTTTGCATGAATTTTCTCAATACTGTGGCGATATCTG